GAAATGTCTCCATCCCTGACTTGGTTTTGATAACGGAGATTTTTTAGAATGACAGGTATTGTAAATCGAACATCTTTGATTGACAAAATGATAAGAGAAAGATACTCCACCCGCATTCATCGTCTTAAGTGCGCATTCAGAGCAGACGGCGTTTGATAGGTATGAGACAAGAGAGACATCTGTATATATGTCGTTCATAGTATCTACCACTGTCCATCTCTCTTGATCAAAGACAAAAGTGTTTGCTATCACAAAGAAAAACAGCAAAACTATTTGAATCTTGGACAGTCTCGGCAAATTCATCTTAATAATATTTGTTTCATATGTAGTAGATGGTCAATAATCATCAAGTTCTCTTAATAGCTATCTTTGCTTCCGAAAAATTGCGTTGCTTTTCCAACTGATTTGGAAAATTTACAGAGATCTCGGGTGTTCTTTTAATTCAGAAATAAATATTCATATTTTCAATTGATTTAGTAATACACGAATTTAGAAATAGTAAATAATTGTAAATAGTTTGTCATGTTCTTAAAACCAAGGCAAATATACAACCCAATCAGTTTGATGAATAAAACATTGAGTAATTAAAGTAGCACGGTATCAAAGGAATAATAATGCACTGGTTCCATGTTGTACTCCGTTAAAACTGTAATCAATCTTCCCTACATCGACCTATTTTACATCAAAGGAATAGCTCGTTGTTTTATTTATTGCTATCTTATGAATACATATCTTTCCTTTCATAGAGATTTCGATTTGACACAGTATAATTGGGCTATTTTATAAAATATATTTTTTCAGCATTAGTTTCTTTTTTCATTTTAATTTTGTATCATGCTAGAGTATGACGTGTAAAACGTTGCCTTATTCGATAATCTTGTAATGTATTATTAAAAATCTTGTGATGTATGTTCAAAATCATGTGACGTGTATTCAAAATCTTATGTTTGTTCAATCAAACTGATAGGATTGTACGTCTGCCTTGGTTTTGACAACATGACAGAATATTCACAATTAATAACTTTTCCAAAAGCATGTTTACCTCAATCAATTGAAAATATGAATATTTTTTTCTGAATTAATTTGAATGTCTGAGTTCTCTGTAAATTTTCTAAACCAGTTCGAAAATTCGCAATTTTTCGCAAGCGAGTATAAGAGAACTAAAGGATTTTTTACCATCTATTACATAAGAAATATACATCGCAAAGTTACAGAACATACATCACAAAATTTTGAATATACATCACAAGATTATAGAACATACAGGTTCATCATAAGATTTTGAATTTACATCACAAGATAAATTTACATCATAAGATTTGGAATATACATATACATCACAAGATATTGAATATATATCACAAGATTATCGAATAAAGGAACGTTTTACACGCCATATACACGACTTTCAAATTGATTTTATGTGTCGCCTTCTAGGTAAATATTTTTTTCTCTTTCCATGTTTATTACTGATTTAAAAACATAAGTTCTATCCTTTATCTTTGTAAAAGATTGTAACCTATCAATGGAAAAGAAATCATGTCATCTTCACATGAAAACGGTTTATGACAAATTTGGTAGAAATGGAGAATTCCATAGTTCATAGCATAGCTACCATGCACAAATGAGGTTTGAAAGAGTAATCTTTTCAGCGAGCAATTAATCAGAATGAAAATATCCTCTTATATATAATCCAAACTTTCTTTTTTTTTTACTGTTTACAAAACCTGACTTGAAAAAAAAATATCGTAGCTTAACCATAGTCTCAATGTCAAAATAACATGCAGGTAAAATTTAAGATATTACTCGTAAGAATACTAAGCTGTCAACTAAATATTTTAAACTAACTCCTTAGCAATCTCTAAATTTATTGACTTAGGAAGTGTGCTTATATTTTCAAAGGAAACATGTACTTGATGTTTAAAGCGTCGGAAGTAAAAATATTCTTTTTCATTTTGAATTAAACCGATGGAGTAAAAGAAACTCCCCAATTTAAAAGAAAAGGGAATTGAAATGATATTGACAGTACTTTAAAAAAAATGAATTAATGCCATAGGTTTCACCAGCTGCTAAATCGTATTTTTTTTAAAAATCTAAATTATATTTTCTAAAGTTTTCAAAGTAGATTCTGTATTTGCGAACTCATCGAATTTTTCCTGTAACCTCATACCTGTATCTATAGGGGCGTTTCTTTCTTCAGTGCAATAGTGCAATTCTTGATTACCTATAAAAGTAAATCATACTGTTTTTACACGCATAATCATATAGAACATTTTTAAAGAAAATTGTACTGGTAGAACTCCCAATGAAATCTAAGTGTTAAGTGATCTTCAAAATAGAAAGTATTTTGTGAATGATTGTTTAAAAAAAATACCAGGACAGCTATAATTGTTCTAATTCTTCCCCTCCCCCGAAATATGTCAGGACAAAGCATTTGTTTTGAACATATTTTATTGACAAGCAAAAGGATAAGAAACAAGTTCATTTTTAAAACACATAGTAATTGTCATGCAAAATAATTGTAAATCGTGTACAAATAAAAGTCAATAATATATCTAGCAAATCTACAAGATTCATTAATTTTGCAAATTTATGAACAGCGGCAAAAATACCACTGTTAAATTCAGTTGAAAGATTTCCGTTGCCCTATTGCAGTAGGTGTACATCAAGGCATTTTTACTACCTGCTTTTAAATAAGGAAGAATTCCAAGCACCGTGGATGGAAAACGCAAGGTATTGAAATAAGGGTGAAGTTTTATTCTTAGGAAAAGTGCTGAACAGAGGAGAAAATCTTCTTAAAAAAAAGAAGGTTTGTTGATACACAAAAAAAGGTGACCATGAAGCTCCATGAGCTACTTGCAAACAAATGACCTCAAATTTGTCATTATGGATAATTAGATATTTGGATACGGGGAAAGTTGGTGATTTTTTGCTAAGTGTTTCCTTTTAACATTTGTAAATCAGTCGTTAATCTCTAATATTAAATTTTCTTTGACCATTGAAATCTTCACAATGAAACTTTAAGTTTACTGGATGATGTAACAAACAACTTCTATACTTTCTCTGGAATCTTGATACAATGTCTACTTTTCTCAGGTCATTGTGTTCTAGATCGGAACTTTGTGGTTTTTTTTTAATTCTAAATGAAAAGAAATTATGTTTCTAATTTTAGCCGTTTATATGTTTACATGTACAATAAACTGGATAAAATTTCCTACTTCTCTATACATAGGTATGATGGAGGGGGAAAAATACATCAATTTGTAACCAATCGGCGTTGATCCGCACACGTAGATCACTACACAATCTGAAAAAATTCAAATCATTTGATCCGCTCACGTAGACCACAACACAATCTGATCCTTTGATCCGCTCACGTTTGTGTACAGCGATCTACTTGAGCGGATCAAAGGAATTGAGTTTATGAATGAAAAAGGTGAAGACAACGGACAGTGATCGATATCACCTAAAAAATCTAAAATCAATAAAAATCAGCGAACAGGGCAAAAACACGGACCCCCGGGATTTCAGGGGGTGTGATCAGGTCCTAAATAGGAAATTGTGCTTTAAGGAGATTGTGCAGTATACGAATAAGGATGAGTTAATATAAAGTTATATCTGTTCAGTATTTTTCTTTTTTGCTTGATGTGGACCAGGTGTTTGTGTTATTTTTATGCATGTAGTTCCTAACTATACACGTTATGGTATAAGTCATTTCACTCCAATCTGAAAAAAGTCCAATCCTTCACAATTAAAAACACAGTGACAGTTCTTTTTATTCAATGACACATGAAAACTTTTTTTTCAAAATGAGCCTAGGAAGGTTTAGTTTGAATGGTCAAAGAAGAGATCAATGTTTTAAATTCAAACATCTTTTGTCTAGAATTTGCTGAAATGACCACAACATAGTCACTATGAACTTTTAATCTGTTAAACAAATTTGACGAAACATTTGTCTGTTGCACCCGGAGACGCGAAATTGCTATATATGTAGATGAGAAAATAACGAAATCGGCATTTAAATTCTTTAGACTACCATATCATTTTCGCGGATTTAAAAGAATCTCACTGATTTTCGGATTTTCCTCTGCGTTAGTATCAAATAACAGAGAATGAACATCTTTTTATTATGTTTAACCGCAAATTTAGGTAAGTATAAATAATAAGATTTTAATTTTCTGTGATATTTTGTGGTAATATGATACGAATGCATTCACGAATATTTCAAACATTTTTTTTAAAAACTCAGTATGGAGCAAATGTTTTCTTGGATACAGAAAACAACGGAACTAATATACGTTTTTGAAATGTGGTTAGTGAACAATGATATCTAGAAAATTTATAATTAGATCTGATATATTCATTTATAATTAGGTCTGATATATTACATGTAATCAAGCTTTCATTCATTTATACACCGGTAAAGGTGCTCCCTACAATTTTACAAAGAAGTGTATGCTCATTGAGTGATTGCATAAAGCTGTTTGAAAAATAATTTGGACACTATAATAATATTTCTAAAAATATATTTTAAAGAAAGCGTTCGAATTTATCCCACTACTGAAATTAATTAGTTTTTCTGTGTTCTTTAAAACTGTGAAAAATACTTATGTAAAGTCGATTGTTAAAACAATAAAATGCCTTCACTGGTTGTTAGTACGGAAATTAATGTTAAAGCTGTTGCAGAAAAATGTATATCCAGCGTTTGCAGCTTATTTATTTTTCTGCAATAGCTACCAAGGTAATTCCAATATTAACAGACAATATTAAGACATTTTTTGTGTTTATAAATATATCTGTGCAAAAAAAAAAATAATGCAAATAAAATGCATTTAAAGTAGGATTTAGTGGATGAAATATGTATTAATAACCTTGTAATATTTTAATTTAAGTATCCCATCTTCCTGGTCGAAGTTTTGAAATAATAATAGGTGACATATTGCCAACATCAAATATCGAATTTATAATTGGTTTATACTGATTTGTAAAAAAGTTATTTTCCAGTTTCTACAGCTTTTGCATACTCCCACTCACTAGAAACCAATTTAAGGAACGAGATATTCAGCGGCTACAATAAGGATGCCAGACCGGTGCAGAAAACCATTGTCACCTGTAACGTTAAAATACTGTCGCTCAAAGACATTGTAAGTTCTACTTAAAAATTTACATTTGTGAAGGTTATTCTTTAGATTTCCTTGGTTAATCTCTTCTAACATGTATAACATTACGATCAATTATAAATTTTTTGCCTTTGAAAGGGCATCCACAATTTTATTTAAAACAATTTAAAATGATAGATTGGTTTGAGCTAATCAAAAAGACCATGTTTGCAAACCTTCTATGTTTGTGCAAAATTAATTCAAACTCAATTGGAGAGAGAGTTTTTTTTTTATTTGCATCGATTAGCAAAAAAAGTTTCTTAACTTTATAATTCCATGTTCAATAGCATAGATATAGAGCAAACAAAAAAATACTGTGTAGCAAAAGCAAATTTAAACAAGTGAAAGAAATATTCAAGGTCTATATCCAAAACAATTAAGCTAACTTATGAAATTTAATATCTCCCAATTAAAAAAAAGATTCATGCAGCGGATGGGAGCTTGAGTCGAAAATGTAAAAGAAGAGATTAAAAAAATTGGCCTTGAACTTTCAACTTTTGGTCTCAAATCAAAGAAGAGGTTTTTCTTAGGTCCGAGTTTCTAATCGATAATCTCTTTAATTATTTATTGACAAAATAGTTTAATTACATAGTAATTGTACATACAAATTTCTGAAGTTCATGTTGATAACATATATACGATGAATTGTACGTGTTTCTGAAAATTATGAAGCTAAACTCCGTAATAACTCATCACAATTCAAGTAATTTTTTTTTATTCCAGAACACAAGGGATCAAACAATGACAACAGTAGCGTACTTTTCATTTGTAAGTCTTGATAGATTGTCTCATGCTGAATAAGAATTCACAAAATCTAAGAACAAAAAGAGATCAAGCAGGAATTATTTCTTTGTTAAATAGTGTCGATCCATGATTTGTAGAAATTGAAAAAAAAAATTGTCTTGTATATTCTTTAGTCTTGGGACGATACCCGACTGTCTTGGACGTCAAAACCAGCGTACTCTTCAGACATAGAAAGAATATACAGCACGGAATCTGTGTTATTCACACCCTCCTTAGTGGTGGAAAATTCGTAAGTTAACTAACATAGCTCGTGTTTCAGTAAATTTAATATCTATCACAATTAGAAACATTCAGAAGACCTCGTTTCAGCCTTTTCATTTTGCACTAGTAATATGATATAACAAGATTTTTTGTTTAGCTGAATATAACATGGTTCTCATGGTCCCTCTGTGACAAAGATTCGGTCTTATTTTCAGCATTAATGATCTGGGTGTTATCAGCGACAAAACCCTTCCAATGCGCATCGACCAGAGTGGGCAGGTCACGTGGTCCCCTGGTAACATCTACGAGACTTCATGCGACATTGATACTACCCTTTATCCCTTTGACAAACAGACATGTTCCATCACTCTAACAACCAGGGGATATATAAAAGCAGAAGTAGAGCTAAAGCTCGCAAAAATGCCGATAGTTTTGACAGCTTACCAGGAGAATGGTGAATGGGAATATATATCCAGTTCAAGTGATGTCAGCGTCACAGCACGTGATTTGTTGTTATACTCTACACTCACTTTTACTTTCACTTTCCAACGCCGATCATCGTATCACTTGATATCGACGATTATCCCGATGTTTTTACTTGCGTTTATGAGTTGCTACGTCTTCAAACTCCCAGTTGATGCGGGAGAGAAGCTTGGTTACTGCCTAACCGTCTTATTAGCTTTTGCCGTCTACCTGACATTGGTTTCAGACAATATTCCTACAACGTCAACAACAATATCTTATTTGTGTAAGCATTACGGCATTTTTTTCATTAGTTTAAAAAAAAGAAAGAAACCAAAATATTTTCAACAAATACTAATATTTCTTTAAGCTACTACACGGTGTACTACTGGTAATTTAAAAATGCAAAACACTTGGCGTGCCTGTTTTCATTTTGTATGAAATTGATGTTAAAAAATATTTAAAAAGTGTGTACATGTACACATAGATATCTACAATTTCTTGTTTTAAGACTATTAATAATATATACTGATTTTATTTTCAGCCGTTTATTTGCTGTTGATGCTGGGAATGGGTGTGATTTCTGTACTTCTGACTATACACATTATAGATATTAACTTTACATCTGAAGAAGAGGAAATTTCCGGATGTATGCGTAAAATAACAAAAATTATTTCAAAATTAGTTTGCTGGAAAGGCTGCGGAACATGTTGCAAGGGACGTAACTCTTCCGTTTCTGTAATTAACGTTAAACGTATAAACGTGCATCTAGGCTCAAAAAAGGTCGAAGGTAATATGGATGATGATGTCGAAGATGAAGATTTCTCCTGGCAGGAGATAGCAAGGATTTTAGACATTTTTATGTTCCGAGTTTACCTTTTTCTAGTCATAATGCTGTCTGTCGCGTTCATAGGCTTCATGTCTTGGGGTTCACTTTGGTAAAACTTCACAAATTGGAAATTTATTATGGTCAGCGGTTTCTCTTAGACAAACCTGTTGATATTTTTTTTAAATGTATTAAAATGAAAAATGAAAATTCGTTTCCTTGCAGTAATTGAATAAAGTAACAAGTCCCAAATAGGATCAATTCTGAATGGAAATGCTTTCATATAATTTCCGAATGTGAAAATATTTCCTCATATCATTTAAGAAGAAGGATGCATTTTAATTGACATTTGACGGGAATTTGGAAAATTTCAGTGATCTGTCCCACTTGAAAATTTAACATACTATTTATGTTGGGTTCCTGTGAAGAATAGGAGAAGGAAATATTCTTCAATATTTTTTTCAAATTTGCCAAATTATTTTATTGAACGACTAGTTAAGATATAATTCTCATGTTTTACTGATGAGTAGACATTTTTGAATGATGCAAATATGCATCAGGAAAAATAAGGGAATTTACTCTTATACCAGTACTTAAAGCTGAATTCTCGTCAAAACAGCAATTACTGGCGTTGGTTATGCGAAACTTATAAATGAAATTTTTGTGCTGAGTAACTTTTAAAAAAGATATAACTGCAGTGCATTGCATTGTATTGTTAGACGTTCTGTCTTTAAATCCTACTTGTCATTATTAATTTAAGTATGATTTTATGAAAAATAGGTTAAAAACCTACTGTACAAAATTTACAATAATATATTTATCTATTAGATAGATTAAAACATTTTTATTAGTACTCGATAATATCGACAAAATACAATGTACATTATGATTCAAAAAGGTTTTGTTACACTTGTTGGGGTAGAAAAAACAGTGAAAAAGAAATGGACTAATGAATGAAGAGTTTGAGACTCAATTAATCAAAGCGCTGTGACTTTGCTTGATCGAGCGTGATAATTGTTTCACATGTCGATAACCATATTAAGCATCGATTGGATGTTTGGTTTCAATGAAAGGAAAGCTACTTAAAAAAGGTACTGTTTAAAAAATATGAATATAATGGCACCATGTTTTGCTCTAGAACAAAATATATGTCAGATAATTAAAATAGAAGGTGCACAATGACAATATGTAATAAAGATTCTGTGAAAGTTTCATTAAATTTTTTTATGAGAGGAATATATATTTAAATACATTTTATACCCTCCCGCTTTTTAAGCGGGGGGTATAAAAATAATTTTCTTTGGGATAGGTGGTATCTTTGTGTTAGAAAATTGATGATTTAATTCTTCAAAATCGATGGTTTATTTCTTTGAATTGTTTTGTGTGTGACATAAAATTAAGTGTTTTAATGATTAAGCATGCATTGTAAAGTACATACCATGAGGAACAAACTTTCTCATCTCCCACACAAAAAATAAATGCATTGTAATTTCTCAAAATGTCTTTAAATTTAATATCTGATTAGAATTTCTAATTAATTAAAATATAAAAATCTCAAAAATGTTCCCAGAAACAGTACTATACAGTATCAAAAGTTAAAATTGTACAATTTTCAATTTTTCACCAAATTATGTGCCCTAGTAAAAAAAAGAAGTTGTTTACATGTGTAAGTAAATACCCCTTCTTTAGTGGGAGAGGTACCTATTGGAGCAAATAATTTCTTTTTTTTTAAAGAAAAACCTTATTTTGTGTTATTTTTATCCTTTAGAAGTATAAATAAGTGATATTAATTATATGATAAATTAAAAAAAAAAAGATCATGTCATAATCATTTAATTTCACGACAAAATGTTGCGAATTTAAAGCTTTGAAAATTGTCGTCACGCGCAAAATCCCCCATGGGAATTTTCAAAAGTTGGCATATTTCATTCAAATCAACCATCCAATCGAATCAATTTGTGAAATTTATTTAATCAACAATTGGTAAGTTGCTCGTGGCAAGATCCTCTGTGCGCATTAATAGAAATAGCCATATAAAGCAAACAAAGGTTTGTCAGTGTAGATGATATTACACATTTTTACCAGCGTATCGGTTGCTAGTGAGCTGTAGTTTTTGCAGTAAACTATGATAAGATGTATTAATTGTTATTTACCCCCCCCCCCCCCCCATTCCTTAACCCATTTCTGTTGAAAATCATGAAAGTCTTTAAGCAAGGTGTTAGAATGCATTTTTCACAGGACATGTTTTCAGAGGAAACAGAGTTAACAGACTATTGCAATTTCCTGTTTACTGCCAATTTTGTTTATAAAACTGGTTCTACTCTTTAACCTTTGAATAGGTAAACCTAAAATCACAATAACGTTAGTAGGGGTGACAGTTCTGTATTAAAAAATATCAGACAGTTTGGAAAAATGTTTGATATTTTTTAATAAAGAATTGCATGAGGCATATATCGTACTAAAACATTGCTTTTGATTTACCTGAGACAGTCCGATATTAGAACAAAAGACAAAGGTGTTAATGACCACTGAAGCAATTCTTTCAAGATTGCAGGCTTAAAGAAAAGTACTCAGTATTTAGGTATTTGGCTACACTGAAGAAGGTATTTGAAAGAATTTGATAAGGAGAGTGGGGACAATTTTTTTCTTTATTTAGACATACACAGAGATTAAAGCAGTACAACAGATTATCATACAGACAATCTAGTGACTTATGAATTTGGAATTGAATGAAAAATGCTGATATAAAGAATATCCACAGAAAATTAGCAGTTTTAGAAACACTAGTCCATTTCATTTTTTTTATGTTAAGCGTCTAAATATACCTTTGTTTTTGATGTTTCATTACAGAAAAACAGACATAATCAATAAGTTTTGAGGGAAACGTTGAAAATCTTCAAGTGTCTTTCAAAATTTGTTGCGAATCTGTCAAATTAAGTATTATTTATCTAGTTACATTGATTTTGCATCTAGGCATTTTTTTTCTTTTAATGAGAAAAATGAAATCAAATTGTTTGAATGCTGCTCTTTATAGTGTCTAAACTTTATGTTTTATTATGAATTTATTTTGGGGGCTTAGAAAGTTTATGTGCTTCACTGATGACCCCAAGTGCGCCCACTCTTTTTTCAAAAACTAGAGAAAGAGGTTGAAACACTTCTCCAATTTTAATAAGTTTATTAAAAGTTTACCCGTTTATGGGGTTTTAGTTGTTTGTTTTTTTATTTGCATTATCTGGTCTGCCCAGTGTTCTTATATTTGGTGTAATTGAAAGTTTATTTTTTTTTTAAATTTTGCAATTCTGTAAAATCAATGTTTCAAAATCATCAGTCTATGTGAGAAATTTAAATTGCTGTTTGTTATTATTTTTTTAATTTCTTTTGTTTAGTAGCAGTCCAATTTTGAAGGCTATTAGTACTGAAACAGTACAAACTGTATCATCTTAATATTTAATCAATTATTAAATATAAATAAATTGATATTCTTCAATTATATATAAAAAAAACAACAACAACAACAAACAAACAAATGCTTTTGTTCTTCTATGTACAGGTTTCATATTGTAAAAAACTTAATAGTAAATGTTGTATGGCTATTAAGATTTTATGTACAGTTTAGAGAGGAATATGTAAGTTTTCCTAACTTGTGTACAATCCTTTTGACATATTGTCAAGAAATACACAATAGTAACTGTATTTGAATGCAAATTGACGATTTGCAGATTATTGAAAGGTAGGTGTGAAATGGTCTTTTGTTTCTTATTCCTACAAGTGTATTCTAAGTAAACATACTCAACTGGCTTCTAATTAGTCAGCTACAGAGTGACACACTATTTGCAATACTATTAATTTTTGAATTTCAAAGGATCATAATAATTAATATAATTTGGATTTGATCTCTATTGTAGAAAATAACAGACATATAAAAATAATAAACATATAATAATTTTAAAAAAATATAGTACTTTTAAAAAATCTAACCACTGTACAAAAGTTCATACTTTTCAAATGAATTTAATAGCTATTTACATATATATTTAAAACATTTTTATCAATAATAATATACACATTTATTACTATAATTGAAATATAAAGATCCGTTTTCTGTATAAATATTATCAAATTCTCAAAAAAAAAGTACTTTTAAAAAATCTAACCACTGTACAAAAGTATAATAATTTTGAAATGAATTTAATTGTCTAATTTTTTTAAAAATATATATTAAAAACATTTTTATCAATAATAATATACACATTTATTACTATAAATGAAATATAAAGATCCATTTTCTGTATAAACATTATCAAATTCTCAAAGTAAAAAAGTGCCGTTTTGACTACTCTAAAGTGCCGTTTTGACTACTCTCAAGTGCCGTTTTGCATATTTCCTGATTGCCGTTTTCACCATTGTTTTGTTGAGGTCTGTTATTACGATTAATATCAGACCGCTCACTAATATCGGATGAAATCGGATAATACAGGGTGTTTCAGCAAATATGTCCCGACTTTGCGGTTTCAATATAAAGTTAGGCAGTACGAACGAAAGAATTTTTTTGCAAAAGTGAAAACCACATAACCAAACAATTTCAAAAATACGAAAGTTGAAGTAATTCTGATTCAATTATGTTTTAGAGAGGCATATTTAAAGCTTGAACATCTGCAGCAGCTTTCAATTTAACGTCATTTTTATGGGTTCTAAAAAGGCACAATATTTTCAGTCAGCATCCTCATTTTGTCTCTGAAGTCCTTTATGACATATATTTGGACATTTGCAATGAAAAGTCTGTTTACTAGAAAGATGGCTTTCATATGAGTACTTTTTTCAAAATCTTATGCACTAATATTGATGACTTTAGAGATTTTCTGTTAGTATTCTTTAGTTTATAAGCATCCAAAGATCTATTTCTGAACAAAAAAACCCTCACAAACTAATTCTTGAAGATGTAATTAAAACTTCAATGGAAAAAATGTATTGACTTTATTTTATATTGATTATATTACAATGATATTGCAAGAAAATGGGCTTTAAGATACAGTTATCATTTTATAAATATTTTATTATTGTGCAAAAATATAGACATCAAAAGTCGGGACTTATTTGTTGAAACACTCTGTAATACAGATAAACCTTTAGACTGCAAGAACAAAGGAATGACATCACAGCAATGTTTTAAGTTATAATAAAATTAAGTTTTGCTGTGATTCTCTTGTTGGGGTAGGCAAAACAGTGAAAAATATTTTCTTTAAACGTCTGTCAAACACGAGAATTCAACATGTTGCATACACCCCTGGTGCAACATTGATTTTTCGCCAATATCTTTAAATTCGAATTTACAGATAATTTGTACAAAAGTTTATAAAGACACACAGTAATATAATATGATGATAAAGCAAAGCTTTGTTCTAATATTTTGATCTTAAACACATTGTAGCGTCAGTCTTGCTCTGATCCTCGGAATTGTGTTGAGGTGTTTGATAAAACTAGAAAGTGTCCAGTGGATTCATAGGTATCCATATACTCCTTATATAATGCGTAGGCAATACTTTCTGGCGAAAAATATCCGTAAATTGAAAAATGGACTAAAAACATACCTCGAAACTTACACCCCGCACACAACATAGTATACACTCCGCATGTTTCATTGATTGGTATATGCAATTATGCATATTTTATCAGAAAATGTAATCAAATTGAATCTTTTTAAACATTTTTTTTTTACATGTGATCAAGTTCATGATTAGAAAATGAGCTGGATGCATCATTACTACACTAGACAAAATTGCCAACGCTCCACCAAATAAAAGTAATATCTTACTTTTTTTAAACTTGTTTATGATGTATATGATATATTATTATGTTACTTTAGCAAAAATTAAAGTATTAATTAAGATGTCTTCATTGATAAATAACTCGTACAATGTTAACTGAAGCATGGCCATTTCATAGAAAAAATGAAAATCGTGTCCATACTTTTTTGGAGGAATAAATTATATTTTTTTTCTTTGCGTTTTCGAACTTTGTGTGTGTGCTAATTAAAAAAATAAAAAAAAAATACACCGTTTGTGGCATTTGATCCTAGAAGAGCATGCTAAAACAGACACTCAGTATGGTGTCTGTAGGGAGTTCTTGGAAGGTTTTGAAAAAATAAAATCACTGAAAAAATATTTATTCTTCTAGAGAAAAATTGTTGCAAATAGATTGATAAACATAAAAATGTTTATCATAGAAACATTTAGCAAAGCCATTAAGTAAACACCACAACATACTTGCAACTTTGTTCCACAACATTGGGGCAACCGGAAGTTAGGTGGACTTGGTATGGGCACCAAGGCACTGGATGACTACTGGTAACAGGCGATATAATAGTCAATCGCTGCATATTATTTGATTTTTACTGGGAGACTGCTTCTGGTATAACCTCAAGGACCATCATCAGTATTCATATAATGCATATCTGGGAAAAAAAGGTGCGCAATCTATGCCGGGAAATTGGTTTTCGGGCATGAAAGTCAGTTAGGGGTTTTGCCACGACACCAAAACATTTGTTTATCCCACTGTATCGAAAAAATGGCATATTATAAATATACTGATACCAAAGAGGCAAATGTTCAATTCACAAAAAATATAATAAGTGGTGTGGTAGCAATTTTGTCTATGTATAATTATGTATAATTATTGACAGCCGCTTTCAATAAAAGTGGGGAATATTAATTTCTTTCTGTCTGTATGTAACACTTTCCACACGCAATCTCGAGAATCATTTGAGCTTTTGAATGAAATTTTACACTTGAAGCTTCCTGTGGTATAAGAAAGACCTCCTTTTGATTTTGAGATCAAAGATTAAGGTCTTCAAATCATAAAACGTAATACTATCTATTTTAACACTTTCGTTTCTACAAGATATCTCGAGAAGGCTTTAAGCTTTCTCAATGAAATTTACACAACAACCCACGGTGGCCCATGAAAGACTGCATTGATTTTGAGGTCAAAAGATCAAAGTCAGAAATGCATACATCCTGTTTGTGCTTGAAAGTTTCACTTCCTTTTAGTGATATCAAAAAGCTTTTGAAATGATTTTTATACCTTAAGTCTTTATTGCGCATGCCCCACCTGTCCCTCTTTAAGTGCCCCCCAGGCCCATCCACCCCGCTCCCTCTAGATCCGGCATGCTAATCTTTTTTTCCAAAATCCTGGGGCACAGGTTCTCTGAATAAGTTGTGAAATTCAATTGAGAAAAATATTTTAAATCGTGTAAAATGAAAGTTACTATGGATTTTTTTTTTCAAATTTGAGAAATACATTCCTCTGATACTGATTTATAGTTATACATGTATGTATAACTTGCTAATTTTAGATATATATGGGCATATTCTTAAGGTAAACATACTGAAAAAAAATTGAGAGTAACTTTCAACGACAAAAAGGTGGTTTTGTTACAAATAAATGATCCATTCACATTGCGAGCTGTACCTATTTCTCAGTAACAGGTTATTGATTTGATATACGTTTGGAAAAGTATAGTCCATTATTGTTTGATGACCAAGTGTATCACCGAGTCCAACTTCAATGCGACCTGTATGCCAATTGATCCAAAAACTTGAAAATTGTGCCCCGCTAAGATGGGATCCTAGTGACGTCGAGGAGCAGGTACTTCCGTAAACAAATCCGTCTCGAATACATGATTCTGTATTGTACCAACCTCCCAGTATAACCTGATATCCGGAGCTAGCCGTGGTGTTCCCAGACACCAGTCCAACGTGAGCGTCTCTAGTCGCCTTTATCTGGAATCGAATCGATGTTCTTCTCCAGCTCGTTATAAGAGTGTCTATGTTAATCCAAGGATCACCGCCGAAAGTAATCGTATGAACAGCTGCAAAATATCACATTAATAATATGTTTTATTTTTTCATCATGAGAGAAAAACTTGTTTTCCATTTTTTGATTTTCATTATAATTTATCATAATTTAATACTAACGCACGGAAGCCTACAGGTATCAAGAAAAAGAATATTAAGCACCCTAACGAGAAAATCTTTTTGAATAGGTGATATAATTTATTAAAAAAGGTGATATCACTTATTTAAATCAAATACGTAATATTAACAATTTTTTTTACAAATAGGTGATATAACATTTAAATTATCTATTAACAAACAGCTTCACAGGATCTTTCACAATTTTAGAGACATTTAATTAAATTACATTGAATTAGGTGATATAACCAATTTAAATTAATTACTATGAAATGTGCCAACAAACTGCTTCCATCTTTCACTACAGAATTGTGCTAGTTTTTATATTTTATTATTTATATGTCTCATTGTTAATCATTAATTTTCCACTTTGTTTTATAATTTAAAGTAAAGTCTATTTCATCGAGGCAATGAATTGTTGCCGGAAAGTTACAGTTGTGCATTTATTAACTTTGCACTTTGTTTTATAATTTAGCGTTCTTGGAGACAATGAATTACAGTTAAGCATTTACACGTATGTTGTTTTCTCCCAAATTATATTTATTACACCTATCCATCATGTATACTAGAGGAAAAATTGTTAAAAATGTCCCACATTACATTGTAAAAAGAGAAAGAAATGCGAATCTGTTGTTATAAAGGGATCGATAACATAAGGCATTTTAAAAGTCTTGGACTAAAATACAGAGGAAGCTGGGCAGTCCAAATTTACTTGGTTCTAATGGAAATCTAGTTTTGAGGAAGGGAGCATTCATTATTTACTGCTGTAAGAAAGCAATAGGTGATATCACCTATTCGAATTGTTGATGTCATAAATCACTTATTCAGATTGAATAGGTGATATCACTTATCCGAAAAGCACGAATAGGAGATATTACCCATTAATCCAAATAGGTGACATCACCAATTCAAAAAGGTGATATCGCTTGTTCAGTTTGAATGAGTGATATCACCTATTCAAAGAGGTGTTACATGCATTACCTATTCGAATGGGCGATATCATCTTTTCGAATCGGTGATATCACTAAATGACAATAAATACCAAAAACGGCGCCTCACACAAACTGCATGTACAAACAACTACTTACCTGTACAGAAGTGTCTCCATCCTTCACTTGGTTCCCACTCAGATGTCAACAGACGACTCTTCACGTGACAAGTACTGTAAATCAAACACGTCTGGTTTTCTTGATGACAAGAAAAGGATTTTTCGTTCATCAGCTTTGTTCTTAAAGCGCATTCAGTGCATGCAACATTTGAAAGATGGTAAGAAACCGATTTTTGGGTGACGATGTCATTCATGGCGTCCATTACCTTCCAAGTCTGTTGTTCAACTGAAGAGTAAATAATCATACTCCCAGAAAGGAACTTGAACAAAATAAAATGAAATTTCCAAAGGGCCATGAGATTCAATATAACATTGAAGATTCTAACTATGGTAATGTATGTCCCTAAATATCGAGTCCTTTGTAGAATTTAATCAATTCATCTAGCAGTTATGGATTGCTCCTATCACCTCTCCCATCATATACTAAATAGAAATACAAAATACATTTCTATATATAGTCATCAACTCATGTATTTTTAAAAGACTTAAGTAGGCGTGGAAAAATGTTTTTCTGATTGTTGTTTCTTTTTTAATTTTATTTATTTTTTCAAAATGGCAAACGTATAAATTATATATAGATACATATAGGAGTAATGCATAAAAAAGTAATTGTAGTTAATATAGGCCAGTAGCTCAAATATAGAAGTTAATTTCTTCGAGATCTTGAATAATTCACGAAATGATATTTAGCCCTCTATAGTAGTAGTATAGTGTTAGGGAATATACGCCCAAAGTCTTTTGCACATCAATGACGTCAGGGGACGGACCCCAGTCCGATGAGTCATCAGAATTAATGAGGGGAAAGGGGGTGGATCACACAACAGGGTGTGTGTGTGTGTGTGTATGTTTGAAATACGCATAGAAAAGGCATAGAAAAAATCTCTGCAAAACGGAATTTTGACCAGGTGAAATAATTACTTATTTGGTATAGTCTGTACTATACTACTGAGAGCTTACTAAGGCGAAATGGGAATGCTAAATTTTACAGTTGAGGCGAGATAGGAACAAACCGGTAGATAGGGGTAGATAGGGGAGAGGTAAACATATTAAGGGTGAGAATTAGACAATAAAATTAGAAAATAAACAAACAAAATTATTATGTGCATTAAAGTTTTCATTTATTTCTTTTATAACATAGAAATTTATTCTAAATAATTAATCAGGAAAATTAATCTGTAATCAATGTAAATCTATGCACTATCAGCTTTAAATTAATAAATTAATTTGTTTTTGAGAAATGGGAGTAATTTTTTAAATATAATAATTAATATAAATAATTATTGTACCTCATTATAAATATTCTAAACAACGCGTTATTTGATTGGTTCTAAGTTTTCACGTGATCGGGCCGTAAAACTTAATATTTCCCGGCCGTCGCCACGCTTTTCATCATATTCCACCTCTTCGGAACACCTAGTGTATTTTCCCGCAATGTAGTTCTCGTTCGTTGAACGAAAACTCCCGAGAGATGTAGACGTCACAATAGCCTGCTTTACGTCACAAAACTGATGATCTAATGTGTTGACCAAAGGGTTTTATAGTAACTTTACGTAAAAATGAAAGTGAATTTAAGAACGGTGCCGAATTTGAAAGTTTATGTTTATTTCAAAGTTTTGCTTGTTTTGGAATAATAAACAATTCATTGCATGAATGTTCGGGTAACATGAAGACTTATTCAGCCAAGAAATATCATATTATGATTTTTCTTGGCTGGATATGTCTTCATATTTCCCTCACTATTATGCAATAAATGTATATTATTATATAGTCTATTTATAGTCCCTATATAATCTATACAAACGCAAACAGGTTCATAACACTACATATTCATCCGATTTTAGGCCGTATTCACCGGAGGGTCAATGCGCTTGCACCGGCTATGTGACGTCACAATCAAAACACCAAACAACGGTGCAAACAATGGTTGCAACGGTAGGAGCGAGCTACGTATCCGAGCAGAAAAACGATTATTCAAACCTATTTCAGGATTATTTTTCAACATTTGGACGTCTTACACATAGCGAAACACGGAAAAGAAAAAACGGAGGTTACAAACAGTAATCTGGAGGTTTTTTTAAATTTTCAACAATGGAAGATCGCAAAGAAAATGGTGTCGTCATACAACCCTCAATGTCTTATTTATTCAAATCCAGACTATATAATAAAACAATTATGGACTCTTTTGGTGTTGAATATGGTTTTATTCACCAGAAAAATATTCATAATGACCTCGGCTTCGCCTCGGTCAATATGAATATTTTTCTGGTGAATAACATTAAATGTTGAAAAATAATCCTGAAATAGGTTTGAATAATTTTTTTCTGCTCGGATACGTAGCTCGCTCCGGCCGTTGCAACCATTGTTTACACAGTTGTTTGGTGTTTTGATTGTGACGTCACAATGCCGTTGCACGCGCATTGACCCTCCGGTGAATACGGCCTAAAACGGGTGAATATAGGGACTGTACGTGTTATTTTTTTGTAAAAGGTTGTTTGGTTGGCGTTGGGGGAACAACGTTGTTTTACCAAAATATTATAGATTATATAACGGGACTATAAAAGGAAGGAAGGATCCTATATAAATACACCCTTAAAGAAAAGTCTTACAAGTTGGTAGTAGTATGTTGGCCCAACATGTTTGTAATACACCCTTAAAGAATGTGTCTTATCAAGTTGGTAGTAATATGTTGGCCCAACGTTGGCCCAAGTAATACACCCTTAAAGAAAATGTCTTATCAAGTTGGTAATTATGTTGGCCCAACGTTGGACCAAGTTTTTAAGAAAGTGCCTTATCAAGTTCAAGTAGTATTGGCCCAACGTTGGCCCAAATACACCCTTAAAGAAAATGTCTTATCAATTGATAGTATTATGTTGGTCCATGTTGGCAACACCCTTATTGTTGTAGTTATGTTGGCTCACATTGGCACAATGTTTGTAATACACACAAGTGTTATTTTGTTTAGGTGTTTAAAAGATGGCATATTTATATAGTCAACGTAAATTATTATACTGCCATTAATTGATGGTGTCAATTTTATAATTAGCTGCTGAGCTTTACGTTGGGACCTTCTGAAATACTTTCTATGTCCATGCTTATCATTGGACCTCTTGTTTAGATATATATAAAATTTTAAATTTGCACTGCCTTTCTATTTTTTGAATTGTGTTTATGCTTATATTTATTTGTAATAAACCAGATAGCAGAACATCTCTTACATTATGGTTGTATTTTCTGCTGTAATTACCTTTATTGGGCCAACAATGGCCCAACATGGAATATCGATAGCTATGTATAATGGTGCGCTAATGTTGGGCTAACTGTTCGCATTATATCATAAAATTATTATCATGAGAGAAAATATTTGTTTGGGGATTGTCGGCCCAACGTTGGCAATATACCATGAATCTGACTGAGCATCATGGGTAGACAACAACCGGGCTACTTCTAATATCCGCGCCATTTTTAATCTGCGAGCGAGCGTAATGAGACTGATACCTTGCATATCTGCATCCACTTTGTAAGTATTTATAATATGTTTGCCTCGGCACAGCTGAATTAACGTTTAGTTTTTAAACGATATCATGTACAAATCTGCGCAAAGCAGACACGGGAACAGAGGCCAGGTGCTGTTGGGTCAACACTGTACCCCAGATGGCATGCTAGCATTGGGCCAACGTTGAGCCAATGTAATCGGTTACATCGGGCCAATGTTGGCAAATGACATTGACCCAATTTAAGTTTGCTCATCGGCCCAATGTTGGCCCGATATGTTGGGCCAACGTTGGCCTAGTGTAGAGTGTTATTTCTACAGATATTTGCCCAACGTTGCGCCAACATTGGCCCAATGAATGCAACATTGTTTGACCAACGTCAAAAGGAACATTGGGCCGATGTTGGCAAATGACGTTGGTCCAGTGTCATTTTGCTCCTTGGCCCAATGTTGGCCCGATATTTTGGACCAACATTGGGCCAATGTGTATAAACATTTAATTGTTACAAATTTGTTTATTAACAAATCTGATCGTCTCTACAATCAAAAATAAATCTACAACCAATCCTACTTGAAAGTACAAGCTAGAATTACAAGGCTTGTTAAAATTCTTATAATTTATCAAAACAAAATAAATTATCAGTGATTAAATGTTTTGTTTTTATACAAGAAAAATAAATTAAATTACAAAATAACAAATGTGTTTTGATACAGTTAAAACAATAAATAATTTGCCCCTTATTTAGATTGAAATGCGTGACTAGTAAAATACATTTCCGAAGTCTACCACTTAATTTACTTTTATACACTTAACGTAGAGCACGTGATCAAACATTTTGAAAATGTTGAACTTGTTGAAGTTAAAACAAAATTTATTCAGTACTAAATATAAATTGGGTTCTTTCAATTAAAATTTGTTCAGTGTAACGACTTTTCTATACATGTATTTTATGTGAACATTGAATCAAAATCGTTGTGATGATGATGATGATCAAGCGTAGAAATGTTATGCATAAATACCTTCATCATGCAAGCTAATCACTTAATCACACCATAAAACAAAAAAGACGGTTATTCCTTAATTGACACCTTAAACATATAGTGATATACTTGTAAATTTAATCATATGTTTACTCTTTACTGAGAAAAGTAACAAATGTATTACCAAAAACTACAATTTTAGTGCAACTGGAGATTCTAAAAAGACATTCAGAACACAATCAAACAATAGCTAAGGTATGCCAAGGACAGGGGTGGGGGAGGAAGAAACGGACAGAGAAGAAAAGAAGGGGGAGGAGGAGACTCGGGAGAGAGAAGAGAAGACTTAAGAGAGGGATCAGATGGAAAGTGGCAGTAGCTTTTTTTCTGTTATATACTGTGACAAAAAGTTCTACCCTTTTCTGTGTCTGTTTGTTGGTTACAAACACGATGCAGGTGCCAGAAACATTTTTTTGTGTAAGTTAACAAAATGACGGGATTCATTTTAGTATTATTTTAAGAACAGGGGGGGGGGCTTTGTTTATTTGTTGGACCTGCTTATCGATACCTGCAATTTACTGAACTTGTGCATAAATTTACATCAGAGAGGGAGTATACAGTCATGTAACCCTACATGTATCGCTTGAAGTGAGCATCAACTTTTATTTCTTTATTAATGTTTTCTTCATGTCCTGAGCAATAAAATACTAGTATGTTATAATTAGATTTTACATTTTGATTTCTTTTTCCTCAGTTTTTTAATTAATGCTATGAGATATATATTGAGGATATGTATTAAACTATTAATCTAGCATATATAGAAAGTATTAAAGG